ATTTCAATAAACAAGAGGATTTATAATTATTATGGTAAAAAAAAGCGTACATTTGACTTTCCTCTCCACTTTGCATAAAATGTTTGCTCCTCTGCCGGCCAGTTGGATGGAAAGACACAATGAGTTCTCAGCATCTCAGCCTACTAAACAACACTTCACTTTTCAGTACAGCAGGGATTGATGGAGCAGCTCAAATGAGTAAAAGTCTAAGCTCCAACTAATGAGTTTGTTAATGGTTTAATTACTTAATTAGTCATAAGTTACCACAACGTTTGACTAATCAGGATATACATATAGGCATTTGTAAACCTGATGTATCCAATGTGAAAAATATTGCTAAGTGCAATACAAAGGAATCCTTGTGTTTTGGAAGACTCATGTCATAGCACCATCTAGTGGCAGAATACAAATAATGCACCAAACATAAATTGTATCTTGGAAAATCTATCTGTCTGTCTGTCTGTCTGTCTATCAATCAATCAATCAATCTATCTATCTATCTATCTATCTATCTATCCATCCATCTGTCCATCGGTCCATCAGTCCTTCCATCTATCCATCCAGTCATCCATCCCTTTGTCCATCCATACAGTAAAAAAAGAAGAAGAGGACAAGACAGAAGACAAATGTTGTACAAACATGAGTGCACCTGGGGTGAAGCGGTGAGGACACGTTGCCAGGTACTGGGCGTCCCCTGGGTCACTGTTCTGTGACTTCTCACTCAGGGACAGTACATTTATAAATGAAGTCATCCTTCAGCTGTCTGGCACACTGCAGTGACTTTACTTCACTGCTTATTCAGTTCACTGTGACCCATTTAACACATGGACACAGACACAGACAAAGAGACACACTCACACACACATATACACACAGACACACACACACACCATACTAATAACATGAATAATAATAACAAGAGTCGGGCTTCAGAAGCTGGAAATACCAACTGTTTATTTTCTACTTTTTTGTGACTACAGAAATGTTGAAACATTTGAACACTGAAAAAAGCTGGATGACATCATCACTTGCTTCTCAAATTTTCTTTCTTTTTTCATTTGCTTAGCAATCACAACAGATGATATTGCACGGCACTGAGAAAGCAGTAGCAAAGCTCGGGAAACAGCAATGACAAAATAAGTCATGTGACATGGAGTTATACATTTGAGAGTAACAGCGGCAGTATTGCCTCTCTGGCACTCACGCATGCACACACGTCCGCACACACACACACRCACACACTCACACACACACATACATTCATACTGAAAACTGAAGAAGCATTGTGAGTCGCGAAGGAGGTCAACAGAAAGGTTAGAGTTGGACAGGGCACAAGGCTGATGAGAGCTATGAGATTTCATTTTGAAATGCAAGTGCAAGATGAACCACTACTGTTATCTATTCCTAAATGGCTGTGGCAACAAATATGCTTGTTTATCAAAACCCTTCAAGCATCTTTGTGAGTGAATAGCTGGAGGACACCCCTCTGTGGGTGAGAAAACAGTTCCCCAGCGTAAGAGATCCAGATGATTGTCTTGGGCGCTGCAGTATTGTTATGAGACTTGTAGCTAAGCTACCCATCATATGGGAACTCCTTATGGACAAAATAAATAAAGGGAAATATTAAAGTGGGGGAAACATAGGTCCACAACACATCATTCATTCTTCATTAAACTCATCCTGTGACACAGTGACTGTATAACATGCCTGTGTAATGTGTCATAGACATTTTGTTGATATCCTCAGAGACTAGGTGGTGTCTGAACATGACAGACAGGAAACAGCCCCAACAGTGAGGCCTCTGACGACCAGTTTTAATGTTGAGATATCAGCACCAGTCAGCCCCACACATGCAAACACAATACACGTTATATATGCTGTTGAAACAGATTTAACAACAGACAAACACACTGTAAAGAAATAGACTCACAACATGCATACCTGTAGTACTGGGACACACACACACGCACACACACACTCTCATCCACAGTGTGATCCAGTTAATCGTCCCCGTACACACTCACACATTGATTCCTTGGTAAGGTTCTTTTGCAGTTTTATTAGACTTTGCTCATAGTCATTACACGAGTACGTACCAAAAGAACAGATACTAGATGGAGCGAGGCGGCGGTGCCACGGCAATAAAAACAGACCCAGCTCCGCGGCACGGCCCCTGGCAGACCGGCTGCCCACCCTCCACTCCACCTCACTCTGTGCATGAGACAGCAAAGTGAGCAGGACTTGCAGCCCTCGTTTCAGATGCTTCAGATTGTACATTGAACAGGAGATTCCCCACATGGTAGAGTAAGCTTTTCTACACAGCCCTACGCCTTCTATATTCTATACCCGTGCGAATGGCAAATCAAAACTCAACAAGTCTACCTCACAAATGCCAGTGCTTTTCAACATCATACATATTTTTTTTTTTCAATTTTTGGTTTGTTTTAAAAATCTTTGGATGTGCAGTAATACCAATAAAATAACAGTATTTTTTTAAAAAGTCAAAAGAATAGAAAACACATATACACATACACACTGCTTTTTGCCAGCTGTTCAACAAAGTAGCTCCTGTATGACTTTGTCTACGTTGGCAAATCAACTGTCTGGGTTTCTGGCAGTGTTTAAAACACACATTGAAATGCCGGCTAGGATTTAGCTGAAGAAAAATACAAACTACTCCTTTGTCATATCTAAGCATGGGCGATAAGGCTGTAACATAAAACTGTCTTTTTTTTGTTTCTTTGGTTTTTTTCCAAAAAACCTACTATATACAAATCTAGAGTTTCTACAAATGCATAAATTAAAGCAGTGGTTAAAACGATACAAAAATGCAATTAAATTAAAATCACAGCACAGAAGTAGACAAAAGGGAAAAATATGAACACAATATCACAGCAGTTGGTTTTACCCTGTAAAAGCAATAGTCTACCATCATAATATTGGCATAAAACAATGTCTGATAAAAAATACGCTTCTCCCTCCATCCCATAAGTTTCATACATCAACCCTGAAACTTGTCCTCCGTGACTTGAAACAGAGCACTTCTGCCAAAAAACAAAACCAAAACTACAAAATAGATAATCATACAGCTTTTTGAAGTAACAACAACAATTACCACACGAGTGGAGTTCTGCCGTACTCACAGATAGACGTCTCAATGCAGAACTCAAAGGAATTATTACTATGAGGTATTCAGAGACATTGGTAAAGACATGCACGGCCAGAGTGCTGGACCTTCCTACACACAGCAGAGAGACGAGGAAGTCTGGGGGAGAGGAGGGATGGATGGAAAAGAGGAGGACGGAGGGGGAGGAGAAGAAACAAAGACCTTTGGTTTCATCTGTAGAAGTGGACAACAAAAATTCCTTTGGTATGTTTTCATTGCATGGTTGCGCTGGCGAAAGCACCACGGTGTGATTTAAAAAAAGAAGAAGAAAAACCTTTTCCTTGTTTCTTTAGTAGTGGCCTTTCTACAGGCTGAGGTATTCACAGAGTCAAAGGTGAGAGGTCAACAGCGGTTTAACACTTTGGTTCAAGCAAGGCACTCGTCCTGGGAGTTTTAGAAAGATTGCAACACGTCTGCTTCTACTTTCAGGAACATGTCTGCCTATAGTTGATTCATCGATTCTGCCCATGGCTATGTCAACTTGTCTGCCTACTGTCACGTGAAGATGTCCGACCTGTTTGTTGGATCAGTCTGATAGATACAAACTCACAAGCTGAGGCCAAGTGGAAATAAAGCTCCAAACATATGGCACTTGAGCAGGGTACCATCAAATTCTCTTCCTGAAATTACTGATGAACCAGCCTCAATATATTTACTGGTGTTGCCACAATGCCAGCTTTGACATTAGAACTGTCTTTTCTGCCAACAAAGTGGTTGAAGTTTTTCTGTATCAAATGTCGCTGTACCCCGCACCTGCCTGGCCGGCCGTGTGTGTGTATCTATGGTCGGATCAGCACATCTGCCTATAGCTACATCAGCATGACCATCTATGAAGCTGTAATCAGAGCACAGATGAAGCAAGAGCACGCAGAGCAGGGGTGCATGGGCTGAGTGCAGGTGGGAGGCGGGGGGGAGAGGAAAGTAAGAGAGAGAGGGAACAGACAAGAGATGGGGGGAGGGAGGGGGAGACACACAACATCTTTTTAACACACCACTCGTAGAGGCCGTGCAATGAGAAAAAATCTTTGGTTATCTTTGGTATCATCAAAGTGATAGAAATCACGTATGGAACTTGAGTGAGGTAGCATCTTTGGTTCACACTATAAAACATCAGCAGGTCTAGACACGTTCCTTTTTTGTTGTCTCTTGTCGTCTTTTCTCTGTTTTTTGGTTTTTCTCTCGGAGACGATGAAGCAGTTCTCTCTCGCCTCTCCTTAAGCGCTTGTCTCTGATGAATGTAGAACTGCTAACCCTGGCCACGAGGAGGACGATGGCAATGGGCCAGCTTAATATATCTAAATGCTGCGCTTGCCCTGAGCCAGCCCTGTGTAGTGCTTTCCTCCTAGTGCTGAAATGCATAGCTTACCAGGAGAGCGGTGGCAGGACGGGGAGGGGAGAGGGGAGGGCTGGGGATTGGCAACGGGCAGGGATGCGGTGCTTTTCGTATTCAGGTGACGAGCTGACATTGCTGTGTAAGCACCTGGAATTGATTCGATCATTGATATCATCCCCCCCCCGCCCAAAATCTCTGATGAGGAGATAAAAAATCAAATACGTATGAGGTGCGTAAGGGATGACGAAGCTATGCTGAATGCTTGTTATCAGAGTGGTGACACAGTTTGTCCTCAGAAGAAAATAAAAGCATCGGAGGCCATCTGTCTACCTCACAGTGTCAGGACCACACGTAGAGCCAGCAGTGAGGAGAAGACATACTACAGAGTGGATTTGTTCGTGGCGTTGAAGGTTAAAAACCAGACCTGTAGGAACTTACAGGAAGGTTTCTATCTGTAATGATTCATCCTCACAAACAGCATTTCACTTTCAGTTTGATTCAAAAAGGCATCTTTAAGGCAAATGTCTTTAGTTAACTTTCAGGGTTATGTTATTATATGTTATTTCCAGTATGACTCAAAATAGTGAACGGACCATGAACAGAAATATTCTCCTCTTCTATAACTAACAGTCTGTTTTAAGGAGGTAAGGGAGGGAATGAGGTAAAAATATTATCCACTAGAAAATAAACTCTTTGGTCAAATTACTTTGTCGCATTTTCAGTGGTTTTATTTTTAAGTTGCATGAGAGAGTGTAGAAGGCTTTGGTTTCTCATTTTTAAATTATTCAAACGCTTCAGCATGTTGGAAGAAAGCACTACAATGTGGGTTGAGGTTAGGGTTTTTTTTGGTTTAGGGATATTTTGGGGGTTCTGGGTTAGCAGTCTACGTGTGGGCATCCCCATGTCTGTCTGGAATGCTTGATAGAGAGACAGACAGCTGGACAGACAGACAGCTAAGACAGACAGTCCGCCGCCATCCATCCGAACGAGGTTGCACAACAATGCGGTCGCTCCTGCAGGATTATTTTTTCTTTAACGTTGATTGGCCAATCCCACCAGAGCTCCACATTCTGGCTGTTTTTCAAGGCTGTGGACAGCTGCAGATCACACTGTCAATAGGCTGATTAAACCTCCACTTAGGGACCCATCATTAAAACCAACCAATCAGATTAGAGATAAGGATGGCGAATGATAGATTGATACTGGGCTGGGGGAGGTAAGGAGGGGTGTAGTAAAGCTAGAGACCAGTGACAGTAAGTGTGTGTGAAGGGGGGGGTAAAATTATAGTCTTTTTGCAGTATGTTACACATAAATGTGTTGCTGAAACCAACATTTCAAAGCAGGTCAAACAAGAAGTCTTTGGTTTGTTTTTTCATCTTTGGATACTATAAATATCAATATAGTACAGGTTTAAGGGCAAAACGTTGCTTCAAGGTCTTTTTTTAAGTTTCTCTTTGTTTCTCTTAAGTTTTAAAGCTTTTCCACCGAGGTTGAGTCAGTCCATGAGTAGGTCAAATCAGTCCGTCTTCAGGCTTTGGTGCAGGAGTTGGGGCCAGAGTTGGCTGAGTGACCGGAGCCGTCGTCCAGCCACTTATCTAGGCTCCGTCGGCGTGCATTCATAAAGAAGTTGCTGACCGTGGTCAGCTCCAGGCCCAGCTGCTGTGCGATGGTGAGCTGCAGCTCTTTCGACGGACGCTTATTCTCCTTGAAGATGGCGTGAAGTGTCCGCCGCTGCACATCTGTGAACACCAGCCGGGGCTTCTTGGACATGTTCCCTCGCTCGCTCCGGCCGTGGTCCTGTTCCTTACGCTTACAGGCTGTGGAGGATAAACGACAGAGACACACAGAGACAGAACGATAAGGGATTTGTGAGTGAGAGCAGAATATACTTGTGTAAAAACAATACTTATGACAGAAAACTGCAGTGAGAAACTTCTTTCCATCACTCAACTCAACCCTGCATGGACTGAGATTGTTCTTTATATCACCCAACCCTATAAATCTATAAGTTTTTATTCTATTCTATGGCTTAAAAGTCAATAACAAAATCTGAATTCTAATCTGTAAATGCAAGACATGATTTTTTTCGGTGTTTTTTTCAAAGCCACAATACTTGAGCTTATAATACTCGGTGAACACTATATCCTGTGAAAGTATCATCGAAACAATGCTCAGAAAAGTGCAAATCAACAACAAAAGTAATGTTCGACTGATATCATTTATCTGCATTATTTTCATTATGTACTAATGGAACCAAATAGAAACATCTTTTGACATTTTTCATGTGAACTACATTGTTTGTTCTGTCTCACGTATTTTCTTTTTTGGCCTATATAGAATTAATCCTGAGTGACAATGATATCAATATGCCTCTAATACATCTCTGTATCCCAACGATAAATAAACAATTACGCAAACAAACAAATAAATACACAACAATGCAATAACTGATTTGATTAATATGTCCGTCTGACTGGTTTAACTACACTACAATGAAACTCTCATCACAGGACTAATATATACACATTTCCTACTCTGACACTGTCAGGGTGGAGACAGCACTGAAAGAGGTCTTAAGACTCTTTCAGACCTGATGTGCTGATAACAGTTCTTCCTATGTCTTAGAGGAAGAATCATGCAGCCGCCCGCAGGCAGAAAGCAGTGTTCCTTCTTTTCCAAGACACTATTTCATTGTGCAAACCATAGCATGCGTGGGAAATAAAGGCTGAATTGAAGTCTTCCGTGTTCGTTCTGATCTCAGAGCAGCTAAAGAGTCAGAGCAGACAAGCCTGTTAGTCCAGGAACAAGAGCGCTGTCCACGGTGCTGAAAGCAGCGGCGCACCTCAGATATAAAGCACATCTGTGGTCAGATGAGCTGCACATATCTATACATATATAGAACTAATGTTGGAGAGAAGATGCTCTGGGTCCGTTTGAAGGACTGACCAGACCTCTCTCCAGCTGATCTCGTCATTGTTTCATTTGATCGTTTTCTCTCTGCAGCACATCCACACTGAGGTTCACCTGTGAGCAGTGACCAGGAGGGGGCAGGCGTGAGCTGCTGGAGCAAGGCCCAACACGGAGCCTCAGAGGGAAACACTGAACACCATATTCTAACCACAAAGCCACTGTTAAAGGCAGCACTGATTCCTTTGACTGAATCCATGAAACAACATTCAACTGTGATTGACCTCAAAACACATTCATGTAAAAAAGACAACGATTGAATATAGAGAAAACATGTCTATTTTGAATATCGAAAGATATTTTCTAAGCAAATAAAATGGATGCATGCTATATTAAATAAGGGATTTGTATTTAGTCAAGTGTCATAATAAGGCTTATTTACTTCACGTGGGTTGAATGTTATGTGCCATAAAAATCCAAATGCTTTATTAAGGAAGGTTAATATCAACATAAATTATTAGGTTAAATCAATCATTTTTCGCTGAGCCCCCTTCTCTTCTTTCTACACACACTCTCGCAAGTACAGTGCAGAGGCCTGTGCGCACGACCATAAACTTGGGTCTAATAGTGAGTGTGAGCAGCCCGTTGTCTCCAGCGCTGGTAAATATTAACAGAGAGCTGGAGCTCCTCGTGTGAGGAGCTGCTATAAATCAGCCCGAGTGAAGGCCACTCAGACAGGAGGAGCAGCCACAGAGAGGCCGGGCCCCGGCACTGGAGACCCGGGCAGAGGGGCTACTTTTCCCAGGAATAACAACGGCCTCGTTATCAGGTTAATCACACACTCACACACTCACACACACACACACACACACACACACACAGCTGCTGCTCCCAGCTAATCATTACAAACACAGAGATAACTCCACACACTCAAACAGACTGCACACACACACACACACAC